TCAGTTGATATTGCATTAGAGGGGGATGCGTTGTTGCCTATACCATATGTTGTTTCTGACGCAATAGTGGTGGGAGACGCAATAGGAGCGTATGTTGCATGGCCGACAAATCTCATTTTCATAGATGATGAGGTATGTTGAACACCATTATGATCCTTGTAATATTCAAATGTTTTACGACCCATAGATGAAAGTTATTATTACATTTACATTTTCTTATTTACATGACGATCTTAGACTCCTACAAAATCCAAATCAAAAGATAAGGGAATCATTGTGCGGGAAACCAATTCAGCTGCATCAAAGAAATATGTACTACTACAATTACATGATTATCTTATTATACATTAATTACTGAACTTATATGACTTTTAGGTTCATGATCAACAGTTGCAACAAGTCAGCAAGGGTAAGATACCTGAATCTTCCAAGGTGCCCAACAAAAAAAAAGGTCGAGCCAAAAAAAGCATCTGTTCCTCGATTTAGGTTGTGCCTTGAAACATATGTAGGAACAACAGATGTGACTGAGGGTGGCATCCGTCAAATACCTATGGAGGAAGGTATTTTTCGGTTTTGAATATACCGAAACAATTGCTAAGGATGATTTGGACCAGATTTTCCAACATTCTGAATTGGGCGTCGGTGTTATGCATTCCTACATCAGGTACTCCGACCCATTTTAATTAAATAATTGAACATTTTAAAATTTGCTCATTTAACTGAATATTCTAATGTTGATTATGTTTTTCTTTTAGGCTCTTGTATGACAAGTTGTTGGTCCCGCGTGATTTGACTTCAATATTCACATTCTTATCTGCTAGCTGTATCAACTCACGGGCAATAGATCACACACCAGATGTAGTCAAAGATTAAATAGTCCAAAGATTTATGGCCGCGACTACAGAGAAGTTGTTCTTGTTGCCATATAATACTAGCCATGGGTATGACTTCATTCTAAATTCATTTATTATAATTATTCAATTTTTGTCATTCTATATAACATTTTCGTCTAAACTGTTGTCTTATTTTATAGTGGAGACTAGTTGTTGGTCGCGATTAATCCGATGAAAGAAATAGTGTATTATTTGGATTCATTGGATGGCGATCAAACAAAATATCCTGATATAAAGAATATGATTGATACGTAAGTGATGAGATATATTGTTCTGAATAATTATATATCTTTATTTATTATGTGACATTGTTCTAAATATGCGTTTATATTATGTTAGAGTTATGCAAATATTCAGAGGACAAAGACAAGCAACAGTGCCAAAAAGCAAGGCTAACAACATTAGCTGGATCAGAGTGCAGGTATATTTTCCCATTTTTTACTGTTATAGTGGTCCTACTTGATAAAACTATTTAAACTATATATCCTGATAAATGTTCGTTTGTTTTTCCATTTACAGTGTCCTCGTCAGCGCAATGGGATTGATTGCAGATATTTTGTATTGCGCTTTATGAAGGAAATTATTCATTCAGGTCAAATAGAGATTCCAATCATGGTATGGATCAATTCATAAATTATATGATTCATTTTGATAATTAACCGATGTTTCATCTGAGTAATTAGTTTTAAAACTAAATCGTGCATGTTCTGTTATATTATGTAGTACTTTGATGAATTCAAGTGCGGTACTTACTCGAAAGCAGAATTGGAAGAAATAAAGGAGGAATGGTGTCAATTTATTCTTGAGTTGAGAATTGTATAAGGTATATGTATCATCCAATATTGATGCGTGATAATAATATTTCTGGAAGTCGTATCTATTTATAAAGTTAACGGATTTGTAATTATATGTAAATTGACTGTATTTGTGATGTTGTAATTCTGAGGATCGGATTCTGTTGTAATATATTTAAGCAGGTTTATGTGTATTAAAATGATTATGGGTAAAATGATGAATTACAATGTATACTTAAAGGGCAAAGTGTTGAATTGTATATATAAGGCCAAAGTGTTGAAATAAATGCCTGAATTATAAGCAGAGAATGTAATATAAGCAGGTTTATCGAAAAATATATAAAAAATGTGATTATTTAAAAAAAACAAAATTTAAAATCGTGAAGATTAGACAACGCTTTTACAAAAAAACGCTGCTAAAGGGGACACAAAGAGCACTAAAAAAGCGCTGCTATAGGTGGGGAAAGGGGGGGGTCTAAGAAAGCGCTTATAAAAGCGCTGCTAAAGGGGGGGGGGGGTCTAAGAAAGCGCTTTAAAAAAGCGCTGCTAAAGAGGGGGGGGGGGGGTGTCTAAGAAAGCGCTTTCTAAAAGCGCTGCTAAAGGGGGGGAGGGGAGGGGGAAATAGGCAGCGCTTTTAAAAGCGCTGCTAAAGAGGTAAAAAAGCGCTGCTAAAGAGGTAAAAAAGCGCTGCTAAATGTGCTGCTAAAGGGAGCCTTTAGCAGCGCTTTTTCCATAAAAAAAGCGATGCCTTTACCTTTAGTAGCGCCACTTTAGGCAGCACTGCTAAAGGGCAAAAAAGCGCTGCTAAAGGTCTTTTTTGACATAGTGAATGGAGAAAAGCGTGAAAGAAGATAGTTGGTTTATTCTAAAAATTTGGATAAAGTGTTTTACTTTTGTTGTAAATTATTTAATACTCTTCCTAGTACAAGTAAATTAGCACATGAAGGTAGTAATGATTGGAGAAATATTAGTGATAAGTTAAAAAGTCATGAGATGAGTAATGAGTATATTGTTAATATGAGTTCATGGATTGATTTAAAAATGAAATTATTAAAACATAAAACAATTGACAAACACGTTCAAAAAAGAATTAATAGAGAAAGAGAACAGTGGAGAAATTTATTACTTAGAATCATTGCGGTTGTTAAAACTCTTGGAAAAAATAACTTAGCATTTCGTGGAACAAATGAAAACATTTATAAAGAAAATAATGGAAAATTTTTAAGTCTAATTGAAATGATTGCAGGATTTGATCCTCTAAATGAAGAGCACATTCGTTGAATAAAAAAAATGATGAAATTCATAACCATTATCAAAATAAATTAATATATTTGCTAGCAGATGAAATTAAAACAAAAATTATAAAAAAAGTTATAGACTCAATATTTTTCAATCATACTTGATTGCACTCCTGATATAAGTCATCAAGAACAAATGTCTATTGTATTACGATGTGTAGATTTTTCTTCAACCCCAACACAAGTAGTTGAGTATTTTATAGAATTTTTAGTAGTAAATGATACAACTGAAAAATATCTTTTTGATGCTATTATGAATGAACTAAATATACTTGGCCTATGATAATGGTTCTAATATGAAAGGAAAACATCAAGATGTTCAAAAAAATATTTTTAGAGGCTAATTCTATATCATTTTATACACCATGTGGTTGTCATAGTCTAAACTTGATACTTTGTGATATGACAAATTGTTGTTCCAAAGCTACGTCATTTTTTGGAGTGGTGCAACTTATTTATATAATATTTTCTTCATCTACTAAAAGATGGAAAATTCCATTAGACCATATATGTAACCTTACTTTGAAATCATTGTCACAAACACGTTGGGAAAGTCGTATTGAAAGTGTAAAAGCTATAAGATTCCAAACTTCACAAATAAGAGATGCTTTATCGAAATTAGGTGAGGTAAATGATGAACCTAAGATAAAAAGTGAAGCTGAATGTTTGACAACTTATGAGCTTGGAAATTTTGAATTTTTGTTAGGCATGACTATTTAGTATGAAATATTGTTCACAGTAAACTCACTTAGTAAACACTTTCAATCAAAGGATATGCACATAGATGTTGCTATAGAGCAATTGAAAGGATTTTTTTTTTGAAAAATATAGGGAAGATGGTTTTGAAAATGGCATAATTTCTGCTAAAGAAATTGCTATCGAAATGGATATAGAACCTAAGTTTCGTGAAAAACGTATTATTCGCAGAAATTTTTTTTTGATGAGATTATTGACAATGAAGTTTTAAAAACTCCTGAAAAATCATTTAAATACTATTTTTTGTACATATAGATCATGCAATATATCATTTCGAACTAGATTTGAACAATTTAAAATATATCAAGATATTTTTGGTTTTTTTATTTAAAAGAATATTGTCTTAACCTTGAATGTTCGTTAAAACATAACGACAACTCTGATATTGATGGATTAGATTTATTTTCAGAATTAAAAATATTAAGAAAAATTATACATGTCGAAAATGATACACTAATTGATATACTTAATTTTATAATAAGACTGAACTTATTCCCAAACGCATTCGTTGCTTATAGAATAATGTTAACGATTCCTGTAATTGTTGCTTCAGCAGAAATAAATTTTTCAAAATTAAAATTAATAAAATCTTATATAAGATCATCAATATCTCAACAAAAATTAAATGAACTAGCTTTATTATCGATTGAAAAATAAATGTTAACTAAAATTGATTATAATAGTTTAATAAATGAATTTGCATCTCAAAAAACTCGAAGAGTAAATTTTAAATAAATATTATAATAATTTAATTTATTTTTTATTAGAATATAAAAAACCTCAATTCGAAATTCGCATTTTTATTAGAATATAAAAGGCCTCAATTTAAAGTTCGCTTTAGGCTTCATGTTGGACCGCACTGGCTACCCTAATAGTAAAATATATATATAAGTTTTATACTAAGAGAAGAAAATGTGCAATCACTTAAGCTAAGTTTTATACTAGAGAAGAAAATGCGAAATCACTTATGGTAGACCTAACATGTTTTTTGTGATGGGTATACCCTAACAGTGAAATATAAGTTTTATACAATAGAAAATAACTGTATCAAAAACAAAACACATATATTAATTTATGAGTTTAAACAAACTTTTCCTTTCAATTATTTTTGTCTGATATGGAGTAACATTTGAAAGTATTACATACAAATCCTTGTCCTGAGAAAATTGGGGGTGAATAATTTCCCTTTATTATTTTCATCTTCTATTGTCATGTAAAAGTGAAAAGAATCACTATATTGATATAGCAATTGGCAAGAATCATGTCTGCCTGTACTCATTTCCACAGTCACCAATCACTTTAAGCAGATCATTTCCTTTCCCTGATGCTTCCCTTATGCTGTTCACATCGTCTGCATCGAGAACAAGAGAAAATATAGCGTTGCAGTCTTGAATATGTTCGGACAAGCCAAGTCTTACACCAACCATAGATCCTGCTACAGCAGGCTGCATGTTTCACCAGAACCAAAAGCAGATAAATATTCAAAAGGGATTGTCCAATTTAATATCAATGTGAGAATTTAAGTTTACTACAGAAGAGCAAATTTCTTGAAGAGAAAACAAATCAACTTCACCTGGTCAAGTATATACTTCACAGCAACGGTTGCAATGGAAACACCATGCTTAGAAGCAACTTGTTTAAGAGTTTGAAGAAGTCCTTGGAATAATCCCCACCCTCCCCAAGCATCCACCATCTGCCAATGTGATGCAAAATACATGAATAATTATTAGCTTGAGACTAACTTCAGATGGTTATGATCATACCTTTTTGTATTTTTGGAGGGATGGAGTGTTTATTGCAGGTCCAGCAAAAGGATTGTCGACGTCAAGGAACTTCTCAGACAATAGACCACCCATTACTGTCCCATACCTGCATCACAGTCTAATTTAATTTTCTTTTGTTTCACTTTAATCTCATTTTGGAGAATTATTTTATGCTGAAATAATTTCTTTACGTTATAAGTTTGACTCCTGTAAGGTGGCAAAGCTCTGCCATTCTCTGTTGGGGACGCATATCAACAATTGAATGTTGTACCTGACAGTGGAAATCACTATAAGAATCATGAAACAGCTGTAACTATATATATAAAGACCTGAGAGAAGAGAAATTAAAGCGCCTAAGTTTACCTGATTGCTCACAATGGGAATCTCATTTTCAAGAATAATTTGCAATCTCTCAGTATCAAAATTAGTTAGAGCCAAAGTCTTAATTTTACCTGTACAAGGTTAAAAACAGAAAGAGTTTGCTTAAATCAACTAATCGGAACTTACACGAGCTAATCAGGATCAAAACTAACCTTCTTCTTTCAAATCCGTAAGGTGTTTTAGTGCATCAAGGTATCCTGAATTTGAATAATCCCACCTAAATTCATTATAGATAGAGGAGAATTGTCAGAATCAGAAGAATCATACACTTCGGAGAATCAGAATTAAATAACAAGAGGCAGAGATTTTAAATACCAATGAAACTGAAGCATGTCCAAGGAATCCACATCCATTCTCTTCCTTGACACATTAATGCTGTCTCTTACAAAGCTACTAGTCATCTTAACTGGCTGTGGAACCCACTTAGTGAGACTGCATCAAATAATACAATGGCTAAGAGTATTTTCTATGTTGTAAAAAAGACAAGAAAATAATCCGAAATCTCGTAATCAACTCACCCTCTGACCTTCTCCAAAAATTGCGGAGGACGCTCGCGACTAACTCGGTTGATGAACATCCCATATAGATCTTCAGCGGGCCCATCTGCAAAACAAAAAGAACATAACAAATGAGAAAACAATAACACAGGTTATGACTTTTTATGCAGTAATTTATACAAACAGTTTAAGTGCATTGCAATTGCATACATATATCAGCCATATTAAAAGTGGTGAATCCAGCATCAGCATATTTAAGCATAGATTCAACAGCTTCATCCTTATCAATGTTGCCCCATTCACCCTTTGTTTGCCACATTCCATTCACAACCCGACATATGTCCAATGAATCGTTCCCGTTGCTGACCACGAAGTGCTGGTTATTCACATGCGTGGCCACACACTGGCATGGTCTGAAGTGTTTATGTTGTCTTCTTGTTGTTGGTGTTCTGTTTGAACTGTTGTAGTAAATGAATTTGCTCAGAGAATGTTGCAATAACTCTGACATTTTCAAGTGGTTGTAGTGGAAACAAAAGTACAGATGAGACAAAAGAAAATAAAATGAAGTCAATGCATAGTTGAAATGAGCTAAAAACAAGAGAGAATTCAAATCTACCTAGAGATATCAAATAAACCCCAAATCAAAAACTACATTTATTACGGCCCATTGTTTTTTTTTACACCACACCCCCACTCCGACTTTTTCTTTATAATGACAAAAATACTCTTGTAAAAATTTAATTAAAAATAGCCAACAATACAATTCAATTCCATAAATTTTTTAATTTTCCGTTTTTTTTCTTAAAATCTGGTAGTTAATTTTGATAAGAAAAAAACAGAAATTAATACTATCGAATTTTGAAAAAAATCTAATACAATATCGGATTTTTCAAAAAAATCGATAAAAACTCATAGTTTTTTTTAAAGTCCGGTAGAATATTTGAAAAATCCGATAAAACACATAGTTTTAAAAAAATTCAGTAGTGTATTTTGAAAAATTCGATAGTGTATTTTGAAAAATTCGATAAAAACTTATAGATTTTTTGGAAATTTTGGTAAAAAATCATAATTTTTTTTTTTGAAAAATCCAATAAAAATTCATGGACTTTTTGAAAAATTTGGTAAAAGCTCATTTTTTTTTGCAAAATTCGGTAGTGTATTTGAAAAATCTAGTAGTTCAAATCCAATAATTTTTTAAAATTTTGATAAAACCCATAGATCCCCCAAAAATCCGATAAAAACTCGTGAAATTCTTCAAAAATCCGTTAAAACTCAAAGAATTTCAATAATCCCGAAAAACAAATAATTTTTCAAAAACATAAAAAATCACAAAGGATATTATAATAAAATTATAAGGGGTGTGAGGGTGTCAAGTAGAATTTAATAAAATCATAAGGGGTGTGGGGGTGTCAAGTAGAATTTAGGGGGTGGCATAAAGATTCCTCCAAAATGTGAATTAACCGCCAGATCAATTTGAAATAGGCTTTATAATATGTGTGTTGTTAATTGCACCCTTGGTAATTCTCTTAAACCCGATGAGAACTCGAAAGTATCTCTTTTAACCGTCCCAAATTTGAAATTTGAACGCACCACAATACAACAAATATCTTCATCGGGAGTGCATCTAATGCAACAAAAAAAAACGGCCAAAATACAAAATTCATATACACCTTTCAAAAATTGAACTTCAAACACACCTTATATTAAACTCTTAGACTCATGATCTCATAACAAATTGTTTCTTACACCCTCATAAAATATCTTGCATTCTTATTCAAGATTTTTGTTTGCACTCACAATTCTATTGTTCTTCGATTTCAAAAGACTAAAAATTGTCTCAATTAAAGGTAATGTATACGTCTTTCATTGAAATATTCTATTTTTTATATCATGATGACTGTCCAGAAATTGTAATATGAACCCTTGAAAAGACTGGTCCCTAGATTGAACTCCAGATTCTTTGAATGATGATTGTAATTGTCATGTATGGTGAACCATGAGTGTGACAACAAAGCTAATGTGTTAAAATATAGTGATCCAGAACATCTCTAACTAGGTGTTGTACATGTTGATGTTGGAAAAAAATTTACAACTAAACAAGAATTTACTTTACATGAACATATGCTTTAATGGGCTTGTATGGAAGCTGTCAAATTATATTTGGGCATTGTTATCGAGAGGCGGGATTCTAGTTCTAATAGCAGACAAACATTTGTTATAATGAGATGCGAAAGATGTGGTCAGTATAAAGAACATATCTGTAAGTTGGAATGTGATGATATCAGAACAAGAAAATATGCATGTGCTTTTGAGTTATGCGGTACCAAAAATTGAATAATATGTGGACATGTTTAGTATGATTTGTGATATACATAATCACAAATTATTTCATAAGTTAGTTGGTCATCCAATAGTTTGTTGTCTAAACTCTGAAGAGAAGAAACTTATTTTTGTTATGACATTGAACATGGTTAAGCCCAAAAATATACTTGCAATTTGAAAAGAAAAAGATTCGTGAGTGTTTAAAATGTTAAGCAAGTATACAATGTTCGCCACTGAAACACAAGGCGATGAGACGTTCAAGATTTGAAATGCAACCGTTGTTAAAACTATTGGATGGACATCATTGTGTATCTAGGTATACAGTGTATGAGGATGGAAAAATTGTTTGATATATATTTTAGACTCATCTTGATTCCATCAATTTGTTCAACACATTTCCCACGATATTGATAATTGATTCAACATATAAGACCAACAAGTACAAGTTTTCTCTTTTGAAAATGGGCGATGTTACTTCTATAGAGATGACTTATTCATTTGGCTCTGCATTTTTGGAATGTGAAAAAGAGGATAATGTTACATGAATTTTGAAAATGTGTCAGAATATGTCAGAAGACCCAAAAAAACATGCCACATATGATTGCCATTGATCGTGATTCGTGATGCCACACTGATGATATAGGTTAGAAAGGTATTTCCTACGTCATATGCTTAAATGTGTAGGTATCATATAACAAAAAATGTGAGAGGTATACTTAAAGTTGCAGTATGGACCAAACAAAGCAAAGGTGAAGACATGAAAAAGATCAAAACTAGTTAGATATCGAAAAACATAATGGATGCCTAGAATGTTATAGTCAATTCTTTTATAAAAGAGTTATATGTTGAATCTTTCATACAATTTAGAATGATGTGAGCAAAATATATAGATTTCTTAAACTATGTTAAAAGTACGATATTAGACTAGCTGAAGAAGAAAATTGTTTGCATGGACTGATCAAGTTAGACACTTTAGAATACCATAACTAATAGAGTTGAGTCTGCTTAAGCTATATTGGAGAAAGGCTTGAGAAATTGTAAGGGTATTTTTATAAGGGTTTAGAATCAGTCCACCAAATCATTCAAAATCAGCATAACGAGATACATACATCATTTGGTTGTAGCATCACAATATTAGAACATAAATTGAAAGACAAAAATTTGTATTCACAATTTGTTGGAAATATATCTTGATCGAGATTGAACTTTACTTTTTACGAAGTTGTGCAAACAGCGAAAAAAAGTCTAGATAGATCTAGGTGTGGTTGTACACTTAGAAGAACATATTGTCTTTTGTGTGCTTATTTAATTTTCGAGAAGATGAAACATGATAGACATGTCCATATGGATGAGGTAAATCAAATATGGATGATGGTGTGATCATGAATGGTAAATCAAATATATCTATTATGACAAAATGAGAGGTAATTTAAGAGAGATTTTTAAAAGCCAATTATAACATGAAACTGCATATCTAAGAGCATTTACACAAGACAACCTATCCATAAATCAAAGATATGAAACCACATGAAATACATTAAGACCTAAGGGTGCTCCTAAGAAGGCCAAACCAATAATTAGTGACAATTCAACCAAGATGTCATCATCTTGTTTCGAACATGTCAACTCACTTTATACAAATTATCCACTTTCACAATCCAAAAAAGTTCTATTAATGGCGTTCGCGTCAATAAATCACCACCTTTGCCACCTTTACAAAAAATGAAACACATTAAAGAGATGCATGTTTTTATGCACTTATACATCAACCGAATCACATATGTTAAAGGTGGTCAACATATCTAATGATGCTTAATGTGTCTAACTATGCTCATTGTATGGTGTAAAAGAAATATTATCCCGCTAAATACGGTCAAGATAAAGTTTGAACGACCCAGGTGCCCTCCCGAGTGAGATAATCGAGCACGCGTGTGAAATCTTTTCAGTCTAGTTTGAAACATACTCCCTCCCAACGATTCCTGAAAAATGCTAGAGGATCCATACTTGAAATTTATGCATATGAAATCAATAAGAGTATAGTATAAGTATTATGATATTATTAATTTACATGTAAGTGAATTACCTTAAATAGACAATTACTTCCTGTCATTTGTCTCATCTTCCATTGGCTATCTTTATCTAACTTGGAGTTCAGGTAAACAAAACATGAAATTATGTTCTATGGATAACAATATTTTAGACAAAATACAATGGGTCTGACAAGTAGCACGTGTAACAGACAAAATAAAGGCAGAATATAAATAACACATAAATTGATAACCCATTTTGGTGCAATATCACCAACGTCTAAAGGATGTTAATCCAATGAAAGATAATTCACTCTCAATAGTCATAAATAAATATTGGTTGGATTTAAACTCTCTTATTTCAATGTCTATTTTCCTAATACTACTTGTGAACTTTGATCTAGGATCCCCTTGAATCTGAGATCCCTCTCACTTTCATTCAAACACTCTTCCGAGTGTTTTGACAATTATAAATGTATATGAATGACAGAACAATAATACAACTCAAGTACTATATTCTCCTAACTTAAAATTAAGATGGATGAATAAAGTATTACACAAAAATAAACATAAAACTCAAGAACAATAAAATACACCAAACTTAGTAGTGTAAGGTTTGAGTCTTCACAAAGGAGAACAACACCTTAAATAGAAATTAAAGTTCAGCTCCAAAGCACAATAGCGTTTAGATCTTGAAAATGATTGAAACTTTAAAAGCGCAAGGGATTAAACTTTAATAATATTGATTGAAAATCTTGATTGATCAAATCTTGAATAATTAGGAATCTCTCGAATATACAAATTCACTCTTGCTAAAATAGATTTAGATTACATCTTCCTTAATAGAAAGGGGGAGTGGTGAATTATGGGTTTTATAAAAAATGATAGTTTGAAAACATATTGCTATCATTTTCAGAGTTTGAAATTATTTTTAAAGAAGTTTTTAGAAATAGAAAAAAGTAAATATGCAGAAAATATAGAGTTAACAGTTAGAGAAATGACACCAGAGAATTATACAAGTTTGACCAAGAAGACCTTATCATGTCCCTAAGATTTATTTTTTAGAGTATTTAATAGTTCTTAAGATGTTTTAGTAGGTTAAACTACCAAACCCCCTTTTACAAGGAGAAATGAAGTTTCAAGCTAACTTCCAACCAAA